CCAGAGCAAGACCAGTAGACCACAAGATTTTTGTAGTTGAAGAAACACTCATACAAAAAACTGTGAGTTATGAAAGGGAAGAAACACACATGAGAATATTTAATTCAGAAAATAGATTCTAATCCTAAGTTTTAAGACATCCAAATGACATGTTTAATGCTTTTTCATCATATACCCAGTGCTTTATTTTAGACGGTGGAAATCTTGAGAATCAGATTTTTTACTGATTTCGTAAAATTCAAGTGATGCATACGCAGGCTAATTAACCGCTCCGTTAGGCAAACAACTACAAAAAAAAATATATAGTCCAAGTTATGATCCGGGTGGGTGTAACTCACCAAATTAATCAATTTACTACACTCAACAGCTGATAAATGATAATGGGTTAGCAGGCATTACCGCTCAATTCTTTCTTTCTTTTTTTTTTTTTAAAAAAAAAAAACTTTTTCTTTACACTTAAAGAAAAATTACAGCAATTATCATAGTTTGACTTGTATGTGTCCCTTTGCCTCCATCTTAGCCCCCAAAAAAAAATTTAAAGGAAAAATCATATTAATATTATTAATTGCTACTTTTCTTGACCTGTAATTTTGTTAAATCATTCCAGTACCGCATTTACTAATGCGTATCCAGTAACTATTCAAGGGATATGACTAAGATGGTGGCCCCGCCGTTGTCAGACAATCCGGACAAGCTTTTGTATAACTGACCTGAATATGTGGAGGCTTTGAGGCCAACTTGTGATTTATTTTAGTGATTTAGGTCAAAGGAATGAGATAATCGGGCAATTAAGTACTACTTAGTATGTAGTAGTGGTAGTTTTTAACGTTAGATTAGGGTTAGTATTTGCTCGAGCATTTATTTTATTTGAAGGGTTGGCAGCGTCTTGGAAAAACATATTACTTAGTATTTAAAAACAAAGTAAAGACTGATTAAGAGCATTGACCAAAGCATATTAGTTGACAAAATTTCAGCCACTTAGGTTGAAGATGGCTTTGCTATGCCTATAATCTATGGCTATGCAGCTGTAGTAGACTAGTAGTGTAGTATTATTTATACCGTACACGACGACTGTGTATGAGCGAATGAAGCGAGTAGTAATTAGAATTCGCACGTATGCGAGTTTTCAACTGCAACTAACACATACGATCCAGTACGACCATCCATGAAGAAGACAATTACAAAAGCTTCGGGCCTTGTTTGGATTGATTGTTATTTTTAATTTTTTTTTTTATCTTTTTTGAGAATATTTCTTTTACATAATTTTTAATTATTTTTTTATCTTACATACATCATATCATATCACGAAGAAGTGCTATAGTAAATTTTTTTTTGGCCCCAAAAACTCTTCAAAAGATGCAATCCAAGCTGGCTCTTAATTTTTCATGCCCATAAGCATATTCTTATCGGCTATATCTAGCACTTACCCTCACACTTTTTAGGGATAATATCATAAACCTCTGTTGAGGTTTCTCCTACTATCACTTAACACTTTTGAAGTTTTAAAAATATTACTTATCTCCCCTAGTGATTGCAAGAAGATTAATTATATTAATCCTCACTTGATACGTAATTCACATATCAAATAAATGGAATTCAAAATATTATATAAAAAAAAAGTCGATTTCTTGTCTCAACCCTTTATCCAACATTCTCTCTAAATCCTCTTTTGGGATGACTATGCAATTTTTCATTTGTAAATTAAAATAAAATAAATTTTGTTTATCTTTTACTTTTTATGATTGTGATAAAGTGGGAGTATGATTTCTCCTTTTTTTTGAGTTGATTTTTATAATGATTACTGCACCTCAAAGGCATAGGTCATGGGTTAAAAAACAGTTAGAAAAAAAAATATAGAGTTCATAAGAAATCAATTTTGAGTATATAGAGTTAAATTTTGGTGCTAGTGTATTTCTTTACAAATATTTTTTTTTTATTTTCTAAATTTCTATTTTTTATGAATTATAACTTTATAATGTGGTGGCACGACATAAATACCTTCGGACTGAGCTAAGGCTGAACAAGGATACTAGACTTTCGGTTAACTAGACTAAGGGAGTGCTCTGACACAACCCTTAGATTTTTTTTCGCTACAGGTGAGATTTGAACCCTCACCTATAGCCCAAGGAGGGACTTAAACCCCTCCGTGGTGGCCACTGAGCCATTGGCCCAATGGTTCTGTTCATCTTAGTTAACTTTGTACAAGATAGCGAATATGGGATGTCTAGCCTTTGAATCGGGTACCAGATAAGCGGTTCCCATAGCCCCCCCCCCCCCAAAAAACCCATGCCATACACAAAAAAAGGGGGTTGCCAGATGCGGGGTGAATTTCTCATAATATTGCTAAAATTAAAAATCGTCACAAAATTGGTGCTATTCAGTGGAGGGTCCTTAATTAGGGGTCGCTGCAACTCCGAGGTGCGGTTTCAAGTAAAAATAATTTTCATTTTCATTTATTTTGGGTTGCTTCAGTTTCCTTTTTTTTTAATTCCTTCATACCAACGCCGCTCATTTGATTAGTGGCGAAGGTTTTTTTTAAAATTTTTTTTTGCATCGCTGCTCATGAGATGAGCCGCAATAAGTTTTTTTATATTTTTAATTTTTTTTTTGGATCACCGCTCATCTCATGAGCGGCGATGCAAAATCTTGTGCTACATATTTCATCAGCCGCGATGCAAAATCTTGTGGTATATATTTCTTCATTTTTTTTATTGAGGTATATATTTCATTTGCCAAAGAGGCCAAACAAAAGAAAGTACAAATTCAGGAATAGGACTTCCAAGGTGACATCAAACACTTGCAAGTTAAATGCAAGTCATACTGTCCCGCTAGGGCTGCTGTCGAGTCGAGTCGAGCTCGAGTACTACTCGAACTTGACTCGAGACAAAAAAACTAAGCTCGAGCTCGACATCAATTTATGGAACTCGAGCTCGAGTTTAATTAAATGTAATTAATTCAAATCAAGTTCAATCGAGTTTATTCGAGCTCAATCAAACCTAATCAAGCTCAAATAATAAAATTTAATATTTTATATATAATTTTAAATAAAGGATATTATTGATATTTCACAATAATAAAAATAAAATATATATTATAAAAAACTCGATAGAGCTCGTCGAGTATCATATTTTCAAGATTGAACTCGACTCGATAGCTCTAACGAGCAGCTCGAGCTCGAGATCGAGCTTGGTCAACCGAGCTCGAGCTCGAGCTGCTAACCAAGTAGCTCGCGAACTCGAGCCGAGCTACTTGGTTCAGTTCCAGCCCTATGTCCCGCACAATGATGTGAAAAAATAAATGTTATATCTTGTTAATCATAAATTTGACCAGCTTATGTACCAGATAATTATAGTTAAGTGAACAGATAAACAAGAAAGATTTGCACTATACATACGATATATTTTTTTGTAAAAAGTTTTCTATTATATATAAATGCGTTGTTAGTTACTTTTATGACTGTATTTTCATCTTTTGTATATCACATCAGAAAAAGTGTCACCTTTATGACTGTATTTTCATCTTTCATATATCATATTTGAGAAAAGTATTACATATTAATTTCAAAAAAGAGTTTTTGAATAATCTTTTATCCAAATTACAAAACCCATTTATCGGTATATAAAATAGTAGATTTTTCAAAAGATTTCCAAGTTATGACAAATTCTGCATTTAACAATGCAGATTTCTTTTCATATTTATTTATTTTTTTTAATCATGAAGAATTTTTTGACTAACTTAAATTTTCATATTAAATTTTTTTTTTTTGGCATCGCCACTCATGAGTGGCGATACCTTTTTTCTCCTTATTCTTTTTTCTTTTTTTAATAAAACGCAAGCGGCATACTAAGGAGTAAACCCAGCCTTGAAGGCAATGCTTAGTTTTGTGATCATTTCCAGGTTCCACAAGTGAATAAGATGAAGGCTGCAATAAGTAATACATAGCCTGAGATCCTCATTTCATATAATTCATTCAACGTGGCAAATAGGATATAACATAAATCAGAATGGAAAAAGCACCACGTCTTCAATCATCTTGAATATATGTACACCAGGTTTCCCCCTTCTCTAATTGCATTGTGGAACAATTATTTGAAACAACTCATTTCCTTACAGGAATAGGAATTGTTCCATATATGAAATATATATCACAAGATTTTGCATCGCCCGGCGATGCGAAAAAAATTTAAAAAATATAAAAAAAAAAACTTATTGCCGCTCATCTCATGAGCGATGCAAGAAAAATTAAAAAAAAACCTTCGCCGTAATCAAATGAGCAGCGATGATTTGAAGGAATTAAAAAAAAAAAGGAAACTGAAGCAACCCAAAATAAATAAAAAAATTTATTTTTACTTGAAATTGCATATCGGAGTTGCGGCGACCCCTAATCAAGAACCCTCCATCAAACAGCACCAATTTTGTGATGATTTTTAATTTTAGCAATATTCTGAGAAATTCGCCCAGATGCGGGTATGTTAGGCTTCATCTAACGGGTCCAATATAACACCATCACGCCAAAAACACGAAGCACTTGCAAATTTGCAATATATTATTGGATTAATTTTCTATATATATTAATAGTATATACACTTTCATCACGTAATTCAAATTTGAATTTGAAACTTAAATTATATATATATATATATATCATATATCTAACCATAATAGTATATTATTAATTCTACTTTACGCTTTTTTAAAATAATACCTTTTTATTGTCATTTTTATTATATAATTTTCATTTATTAGATTAAATGATAAAAGAGATAGTGAAAGTGTCATTATAAACAAGAGTAAATCTCTCCTGACGGTGTATATACTATCATCGTTGGATTCATGACATATGTGCAAAAGTTGAATTTTCAAATTCAAATTTTGCATAGTTGTCAATCGTCAAATACTGACAATGTATGCACTGTCAGTGTAGCAAAGATTAATTCTATAAATAATTGAATACAATTAACATTTTCCTTATATTACCATAAAGAGAAGAAGAAAATCAATTGCGCCAAACATATAATAGGCCCCAAAAAAAAAAAAGTAACATGATGTTACCAAATGACAAAGGGTCTGTCCCTATTACCATCCTCATGCTAAGATATCAAAACTTGACAGACCGAAGTTCTTTGAACAAGAGAGAGCTATGCCAATTAATACGTCCCACAGGCGGGGATAATAATTAATAATAGGACTTTGTTGGTACCGGGAGAAAGCAAGAAAATGGAACCAATGAAGATGGCATCCCGTGAGATTTTGCCAAGTTGGAAACTGGACCAGGGAGGGACTTTGGGATGCAAGTCGCGCAAAGGTTGGCGAGGAGCTAGTACCAAACAAACGGGACCGACTTTTCATACGCAAGTACTACGTACGTATTTCTGCATCAGAACTAGAAAGAAAAACCAGAACGCGCTCGGAATATATTATTTATCCGTCAGCCGATTTCCGTGTTATCATCTTTCTTCTTCTAAAATCAGAACTGCTAAGGATTGAAGGAAATACTTCAAAATTCATATGCAATAGTGTCAGATTTCGAAGACACGGAGAGAATTAAAAGATGAAAAAGAGGATGTGGTCTTTCATCAGTACCATTGACTGACTGACTGACTAACAACAGATGAACGAACTCCCACAATCTTACCTTGTGCTGCACTATGGAAAATCATTTCATTTTTTCTTTCAAGCTCTCTATCTTAGTATGTACACATCAAAATGTTGCACTCTGCTCCAATGGATCAACCGGTCAGAAAGTATGCTACTGGGGACAGACATCTCACTTCTCCACTATCTTTGGCCCGCTGTACACTTCCCCAACTACAGTTACATCCTTAGGTCTGTCCCTCTCTTCAAGCCATGCATACCCATCCCTCTCTTCCACAGGCACTGATATGCTGTTGACGACTGAGTCACACAAAATCAAAAGAACCAGTGCGTGAATGAATGCTTTGCTTATATAAATATAAAAGACTCACTCTCAAGTTCGTTGCACATTAACAATCAATCGTACAAAATCTGTCTTCTTACCATACACACTCAAAAAGTCCACAACAAATAATAATACTATAAAATTTGCCACTTTATTCCAACAAGACAAATTAATATCCCATGATTACAATTTATAATACTTGCATCAAAAAGTAGCACTATCTAGCAGCAGAATTTAGGCAAAGCAGCAAGCAAAGGCCTGGAGATCAGGGTAGAAGTACATTCAAAGTAACTATCTTCTATGTAATTTCCCCCACGTCTATGTAATTTTACGACTTATAAGGAGAGGAGCCAACAATATATTAAAACTTAATTTTTTTTTTTTTTCCCCTAACAACGAGTCAATGTACAACTAGAGAGTGCGCATCACAGCAGCAGAAGTAAGTCAACGAGTAAAAATTGAGCAACAATCTAAAATCACGTGCAATGCATGACCCCTAACCTGAGAACCTTGTGAATGGGAAGTCCATGTAGTATTGACAGTGGCGGCCCTCGGGATCACAATATGGCGGTCCAAGCACATCAAGTACCGCACATGGAGTCCTCGCTTTGAAGCAATGCATGTTTCCGCCATCAGCAGGGTACAGAATCGAAGTGTTGCATGGAGCAGTAAACTCAGAGTCGACCTTCACTTTCGCCAACCGTACTCTTGATGGATGCTCTGCATAACCTCATGAAGCATGAGCCATCCACTAAAGCTTTTAGCAGAACAAGTTGGCTAAATAAAAATATTGCACCTGGCTACTATTTACACACGTTTAACATGTCATACCAAAAAAAAAATTATTTAGCAGGGACCGCACGTAGGGTTCTAGCTACTCAAAGACAAGGACAACGTTTATTAGGAGCAACCAATGTCAGAAGGCAAAACGGATCCACTCGCTGTTTTTATCTATTCCTAAATGTATGTTCGATGCAGTGCAAGCACGAAACATCTAATTTCAGCACTATCAACATCAAAAGCAGCATCAAAATCTTTTACACCAGTTACGTTACAAGCAGAAAAATAGTTCCAACTTCAACCAAAAGACAAAAGAAGCAATGAGAAATAAATCAAATAAAATAACATCCAGCTTCAGAGAAGACATACCTTCTAATGGATCAGCATTCAGAGCCATGGCATCAGGTCCGTTACCCACCCAGTCATATGACTTGATGTGCATGGTTCCGAAAAGAAGCTTGCTAAAAACTGTCATTCCAGGATGATTATGAAGCGGGATGACACCCGTGGGCGGCAAACAGAAGATTCCAATCTGCAAAAAATGAATATATAAGGTTGCAAAGCCAAAATTCAAGGCATAAGAAGCAAACCAGTTTCAAATAATCTAATCCAGTAACATGTCATGAACATGAACAACAACATACCGAGAACTTTTCGCATGCATAGAGGTGTAAATACGTGATTCTGGGGATTTCTCCGCCAGTTGTTGCTTTGAAAAATGTCATATCTGGCCTCAGGCCTACATCTACTTCAGTCATGCTATCTGCATGCATACAAACAAGATTATCAGAGCAAAGGAATGTGCATTCTTCAGCAATATTTTTTTTGGATGTTGTTGCCTTGTTGCGGTAAATTCAAGACCACCGTAATGAAAGAAAACATCAGCCTACAGCCCCTTCCCCCGCCCCCCAAAAACAAAAAAAAAAAAAGAAAAAGGGAGGGGAAACAGTAAGGAAACGTGTATGTAGTAGCATTTTTTTTTTGTGATATGAGAGAGATAAAAAAAAATGTAATTGAAAAAAAGTGCTTATAATGCAAGCAAAATAATATTTTAAAAAAAAATTTGTTTCCGGACTTTTGTTTTTTCCACTCCAGGTTTGCCCGGGCTGGCCATGTCACAAATTCCAACAGAACGGCAAGGGTTTCAGTTATTAACAAGTCCACATTTGACCCCAGGTGAACATTAAACTTCTGTTACAATCTTACCAAAATTAACTCAACTTTGTAAAGGCACGAGGATCCATTTGCATCTTAACTAAGATCAGACGAGAATTTCTTAAACAGTGCAACCCAACAGACAATTCGAACATCAAAATTTTAAACCGAAAACTTTCCATAAGGATCTCTTTATGGTGAAAGTGTTTCTTGAAAAATCTGTTGGCCTTTTTAATTAGACCAATCACAGGAATTAGAACTGGGGCAAATGTTAATGAGTAAACAGAAACCGGTACCAATTTTGCAGGGAAAAGCGGAACTGGGACAACTTTTGATCAAATGAAACACACAGTGAAACACAAACACGTCATTCATAAAAGCTATCGGACACAAAATTAGAGTGTGCAAGTACTTTGTAAAGATTTTTGTACTAAATGAACCTCGGGTCGATACAATGTTAAAGTGGAAAGGCAACAGACTACCAGAAAAGCACACAAGGACAAATATCTGCCGACTTTCCAATAACAGGAATCATGATTCAATATGAATATGGGGAAAGTAAACCTGAAAATAAATCAAAATGTCATTAACCACACTGCCAGTGAGGGAACAAGAAATGACTACAGTACATTATCAGACACAAGTACATTATGCTGAAAAGGTTATGCCTCGCTGAATTGCATAAAAAATAATAATACTACTACAATAATACTAGAACATTAGCTACTAAGCCAAAAAAATTTTTTTTTTTTTGCTACTAACAACAAACAACCCGGAAAAGAAAAGGATCACAAAACACAAACTGGAATACGGAACCTGAACAAAGAGATGATCATACCTAAAACAACCTTAAGCCGTTCAACTTTATCGGGTGAAGGTACAACACCAGGGCCACAATCGGAAAATACTTCCTTGCAAGTTTCATAAAGCTTCTGAACCACTACTGTTGTTTTCTTCTGCTTTCGCCTATTCTTCTTAGACTCGCCGTACACTTTACCTTTTGGTTTGCTTACATTTCTCTCGATCCCCATTTGTATGTCAGTCAACTACCCTTCAACCCCAATTTATGAAGAAAAAAAAAATTCAACTTTTGGGGCTCAGGTAAATTAAAGAAAACTGTGATCTGGTATTCAAGAGAAACTCTTGGGACCTGAAACTGGGGATACAAACATAGATAGGAGTAAAAAACCTACAACAACGACGACGAAACAGAACTTTTTTTTGGGTTTTGGGATGCTTCTGTACGGGCTGATGGTATTTGGGCAACACCGATAATATATATCCCAGCGTGGCGTTGTTTTTGCTGTTTCCTGTGTCCAAAAAGAAACCTTTGAGGCGGTAAAAGAAGACAAGAGATGTGAAATATTGGATCTCTGTGATTTAATGTTGTTAGTTTTTGGATATGGATTGTTGATGATGACGACGGACGGACGGACGGGGTAGGGAGAGAGACGGGTTGGCACGGGATGAGGTGGACCTTTAAATGGGAAGAGTGGAAGGCGAGGTGGTATACTTGTTCTGCTACGAAAACAGTTGGTTTCAAGAGAAGGGAGGGGAAAACCACGGGCCATCCCTCGTATTCCAGTGGGCTGTTCCGATAGCGGAATTCTTTTATTTTACTACTATATGCTTTTTATCTTTCTTGTTTCGTCTTACTCCCATTTTACTGTAATCACACTTTTGCCCCCTGCATTTTTAGCATTTTACATCACAGCCTCATCTTCGTACCGCCTCATTGCCCCTCTCCTTGGATCATGCTACAAAACCGTTCAACAACCTGCACTTATTGAGGTGTTAATAATGTGTGTTATTTGTGTCAACGTGCGCCTTACCAACAAACTTTTTTTTTTTTATTTTATTTAAATAGTAGTAATATTTTGTTTAGTGACTTTAGTCTGTCTTGCTAATTAGATTCCACCGTTTCTTTTCACAAAGGGTCTCCAGTGCTCATTAGGAACTCATTAGTCATTAAGATGGGAGTAGTTTAGATACTAAAACAAACTATTTATGATTATTAGTATTTACATTCATATACTAGGTTAAATACCGACTGGATATCCGTTCATAAAGCAGTCTCCGTCATAGATAACATTACAATAATGAATCGTTGAAGCTTTTAAAGAAATTAATAATAATGTCAATCTTATCGATAATATTAATTTGATTGATTCTTGTTACATTATCAATGTCACGTTAAAAGCAAAAGTGTGAAAAGTGTGTTTGGATCGTAAATTATCAATTTATATATGTCATACCGCTTGTATGAAATATTGAGTGTGTTTGGATTATTAAATTATTTTAAATAATATTTTGCTTGCATTATAAACACATTTTTTTAAATTTATTTTTTTAATATTTTTAATTATTTTTTTGATCTCACATATATCACATTCCAGAAAGTACTACAGTAATTATTTTAAATAATACACTCATTTTATTTGCATTAGCAGCGTAACAACAATTAATTACACTGCATAAATACTCTAATAAAGAGTTTCCTATCATATTTCGCAATCACCGAAAAATGATTTTTCATTAGGTATTTACTTTGTTACCACAACTGACCAGCAAAAAATCCATCCCAATGGGATGGGAATAAAAGGAAGGTGGCAACGATGAAAACTCCCCTTTCAAGAGCATGACACGTTTGACAAGTAGCACGTCGAACCCTAACACCCAACCGAACCGCCAAGCAAATGCGCTGGCGTTTGCCAATGGCATAATATATTCTGTTATATAAGCGCCCATACGGTCATGTCCAAATATTTGAAGCCATTGACAGAAGTTGAATATGTTTTTGCAATGCATAAATACTTTATTTATTAACTATTCGTACTTTAGTAAATCCTGCGATATGAAGAGCAAAATATGACGAACCTCACATGTCCATGATATGTCAAATCACCAAATCAATGTGGCATAACCAAATTACGCATCTTCTTTATGGGATAATTTCAGAAACCCCCCTGAGATTTTTGATAATTTCATTGAACTTCCTTAAAGTTTAAAAAATTACACCGACCTCTCTTGATTTGATAGTTTTAGTAACAAAATCTTAAAATAATATTGACTTAGTCAAATTTTTAAATGAATACCTAAAAATGCTCTTGTATTATGAGTTTTAATTTATTTTCATATACAATTATAAGATTATCTAGTATAATTATAAGAAAAAGGAGCTAAATTTTTCATGTTCATACTTATTATTTGATAAACAACTCTAATAATAATTTTATCACTATGATATGATAATTTTATTGGTATTTTATTATAAATTTAGATTTATAAGATACAAAAAAAATGTTGAAATAATTTATTTAGAATTTATAAATTTTTTGAGTAGCAGAATTATCATAATTTAGTAATGATTTCAGGCCATTTCTATTTCATTTATTGTTAATTTTAATATCAAAAAATGGAAAACAAAGATCAACAAAAATATTGGATTACATATAAGTTAACTCATAAAAAAATCACTAATTTGATATTTGGTAACAATAAAAACTAGAGGTAATAGTGGTAATTCTATAGTTTTATTAACAAAAAAATAAAAAAAAAGAATAAGAAGGAAAAAGAATGAAAAACTAATTTTAAATGTCAGTCTAAATATAAACATACCAAACAAGAGAATTTTATTAAAATATTTAAGAGTAGTATTATCATTTTAAATGACAAGGAAAGTACGTGTAACTTTTAAAATATTGAGAGAGCTAAATGAAATTATTAAAAACCTCAAGGAAGGTAGGTTTCTGCAATTATCCCCTTCTTTATTTAGATCCGCGTCCGTTAATCCAAAAATTTATATGGTATTCCAATGACCTTTCACCCTAATTTTTTCCCTACGTATAAAAATGCTGCTATATTTTCATAATATTAGATCAGTCCTAAAATTTGTTCTGATCTTTGCTTTTAAGAAAAAGTATCCGGCTGTCCTAGTTACCTTGATGCATTACGATAGCAAACAGAGACAAATCAATCAAAGCACGAGAATCATGGTTCTTGTAGAATGTAGGGGAGAGTACACTTTTCTTCCTATATGGAAAGAGCCAATAGAACCTTGACAGCAACTAATGCGTGCATCCAACGTCAGGATTTCCGATGACATATTAAAATCGAAACACAATCGCAGTTTAACCGAATTCTTTTAATGTATAGATTAGAGAGCCTAAGTCACAAAAGAAAGGTAATTCCCTGTGGTCCAACCTCTTGCCTTGAGGGCATCAGGACTTATGCCTACAGCCTGTCGAAAACTAGGTCAGGGTGGGATAGATCGCAAATCAGCTCCAAAGAAACACAAAAACTGACTATTGCCAAAAAGAAACACAAAAACTCCTGGAAATAGTACTTGTCCAGTACATGCATGAAGCCGCCTTTCCAAGAACCAAAGAAACACGCCTAGGCAAAAGAAGAAACTCACGAAGTTTTTTTTTTTTTTTTCTCTGCGAGGAAAAAAGCCTCATAAAACCTGTAAATCAAGGGTACCTTGGGGAATCATACATAGAAGAATCTTTACTAGGATATATTGGTACAAGATTTCTCCAATCAGAGTTTAACAGATCAAGCCCACATCACAGCTTATTTGAAATCGACCAAGTGCAGGACACCATCTCATAATTTATCAAGGGACCAACTGGGAACTGAATATACATAAAATGTAAGGCTCCAAAAATAGTTGTAAATCAACTAAAAGATGAAAACAACACTATCATGCACTCTAGACTTCTGATTCTGAGCCACGCATTCAGATATCCACATCAAATTTCTGATCTCCTGCTCCCTCAACCTCATGTATGCAAAGAATACACCATAATGGAACTACAAAACCAACGTTAAACAGTTAAAATTAATCAACCAAGGAACTACAGACAAAATTATGGCCATCCATAAAGATATCTACTACAGCAACAACAAATGTGGATATCATCATTAAGCTATTACAGTTGAAAGAAATCAAAATAAGTTGAACACTCTGCTCTCATCTTGAAAACTAACCTGTTGCTCAAATGCTAAGCAAAGTCGTTTCACCTCCTCTTCATAAAATGCCTTGTCAAGCATCTGGCTCTCCCCATAAGATAACTTGGCAAAAATTGTTTGATAAGGAGGGTACTTCTCCATGACACCACGAACCTACAAATGCAAGGGGACAAAAAGAAACACCATGAAGAAAAAAACAAGTGAATGAATAGGTGATATATTTGTTGAATAAAACCCTTGGAGAGTACCTGATCTATATCCTCACAAACAGCAAGTTCCTCATGGCCATAAGGGTAACTGTTGGACAAAGGCAACAAATCAGGGTAAAAATAGAGAGGAAAATGCATAATAAGATCCCAAAAGATGCAAGGCATTAGTCAAACAACTTACAGCAAGCCAAAATTGGAATATAATTTTCTACGATCATCTCGAGTAAGCTCAGTCCCAATGCTGCAAAAAAGAAAAGAACATAAGATAGCAGCACAAGTGCCATGCAGAATCTAGTCAAGAGTATAACTCAAAAACAGATTGCAAATATAAAACTCAAGGAAGTTAAACCAACCTATTGATGGTGATATTAACTGCTCGGCGATCAGCCTCAAAGGCAAGCAGGTCAGACATTATCTCTGCAGTGGCACCTCCAAGTTTCTACTTAACATTTTCACATGCTAGTAAACTATTGCAGCATGACATACTTCTTCAAAATCTAATACAAGGAAAATTTTTGAAACATTTGTCTTTACCTGGCAAAAATCATAGAAGTCCTCAAGGTATGCCTTGTAGAGGGTATTCCTCATGATTTCAATGTTCATGTCGTCCAAGTCCTAAATATAAAATTAAGCCTCATCAATCATGAACTAGAAGGACAACATTAAATGTATTGCACGCGATGACACTTCCTCATAAATGAGATAAGATAGCTTATGCAGGATGAAAAAATTCATCTTCACACTTGCTCTGATAGATTACCAACTGTGCAAACAGGAACTGTGAGTCAAGTGTCATTCCTTTGCAGTTCACAGGCATGTACAACATGAATCATATCCCTTTACAATCAATCCGTCATATCAAGAAACAACAGGGCACCATCAACCCATGTACAGGCCAAAGTGCTAGATTCAACATTTTTAAGTCTTAAAAAGGTGTAAAAATACAGATTCTGCACAAGGAACTGCATAATTTCCAGAATTCATATTCTAGAAATGAAAAGAGCCTAGTAGTTAAAGCAATACATTTCACTTGTATAATAGAATATAAGCAAAAATGTTTCACAATCAGTACCTCAGAAGTAATGCATTCGGAAAAGTAAGGAGCAAGGGGAGTGTCTACAAGCACCAGTCTATAAAGCTCCCTCATATTCTGTGCGACTGCCAGTGTTGCAATACTATGTAAACAAAAGACTAAATGTTAGCCTTACTGACAATCAAAGTAACCGAAAAGACGCGACAAGATACTTTACCTGTCGAACATTCCCAACGGATGGCATTTCTCCAACAATTCATGAACGTCTCTCTCATGCAATGTTCCAGTTACAATTAGGACAACATTATCGATCATATGGCCGTATCTGAAAAATAAGCAAGTGTTATTTCCGCCGCAAGCAAGAGAATAAATTACTATTCCAGAAAATAATGTGTTAAGATTCTATCCCAGGTATGCCACTGTTATTTTTTGAGATATGGCTTGTTAAGCAGATTCTTCCAATCCACTATAAAAGCAAACCAAATACAGCAAAGCATTATGATTGATTGCATTACACAAAATTCAAATAACCCAAATGAACAGAAGAACATCTGAAAATCCCCATACGTGATATACTGCAAAAAGGTTGACAAGGGTTCTGTAGCTTGGCTCAGCATGTGCTTATACTCGTCAACCAATTTAAGAGTACACTTCTCCACAATTGTAGTCGTATGTAAAGGCGATGGCTCTGCAAATTCGAAAAAGAAATGCACGATTAACAATCCAAAATTAAATTTCATATCGTGTTTTATTTTATTCCCTCAACTAGACAGATCCTGCAGGAAAAAGGACAAAGCTGATCCATCAAACATCAAGCAAAATGTGCACCAGCAAGCATGCACATGCACGTCTAAGTTCAATTGCTAACTAATCCATTAGTATTCCGGCTTAACAACAAAGGTGTTCCATTAATATCTATCACTAGAACTGGGATCAGTGTTCATACAAAAACCGAAATTCTAATCGCTATATTAATCGTTGTGCTCCATAATATTCAATAATTTATTTGAAATTCTATTTTATTCTTTTCTAGATCCATATTGATTATGAATAGATAAGAAGTAATAGTTACTAACTAAGATTCTAATAGTTTATGGAATTCCTATCCATATAAAATGGATATTATATGAGCCCGCTTAGCTCAGAGGTTAGAGCATTGCATTTGTAATGCGATGGTCACACCGTTATGTTGATCTGCATTCATAGCACCTTAAGCAAGCATAAAAATGCACATTAGCATCAATCCGAGTAACTTACTTCGGCCCAAAAAAAAAAAAAGGGAGTAGAATTCTGCTCAATTTCTTGCTTTCGCGCTGAATCAGAATAAATTAACAAGCTATTAACAAAGTATCAATATTGCACAAAAATAAACATATTAAAGCCGACGATATAAAACTATAATCCAATTCAATTACAAAAACCAAAGAACCATACAGGTACGAGTATCTGTAATCTCCGTTAGCGTTGAAATAAAGAAGGCAAAACCCAAAGGCATTGACAAGGTAAAAAAAAACAAAAAACAAAAAAAAAAACGAACCGTTTTGCAGATAAGGGCCGTATTCGGTGGCGGAGAGGTGCATCTTGATGTCGTCTAGGGTCTCGCACTGGCAGAGATTGTTGTAATCGGCAGCAGTGAGCAGTCCGGATCTGTGGCCCCTGACGATTGCCTCCAGATAACCGCTGTGAATGTTGAACGTTAAAGCTTCAAATCCATACATTTTGGGAATTCTATTTGGGGAATTCAGCAATAGATCTGGACAATAATTTGGGAAATCGATGGATATGCGAGAGAGAAAGCGACTCCCCCCTTCTGGAGAACCCTAACGATCACTACTCAATTAGCAAGCGACAGGTATCTGTTGGAAGCAACCTGTCCGAGGGAAGGAGTAAAGTAAATGTAATTATAAATCGTGTCGTGTCAGCTCAACTCAGGTATCAATTACCATGGAAAGGGAGATCAACTTCCACATTTCATCGGCGTCACTCACTTTCTTTTCCTTTTTATTATTATTATTTCTGAGTTTTGACAGCTTTGACGCGAGGTTTTAACTATTGAGAGATTTTTTTTTTTTACCTAATTAATGTGCTTTCAATACCGCATTTTTTTAAAAAAGTTTTTGATGAACAAGTTGGTGAAGCACATCTTATACGTAACAGTTTTTTTTTTTTTTTCTCCTAAATATACTCAAACCAACATGGATTGGAGACTCCAATTTTTGAATGTTATTATATATATATAACCTACGTTAAGTAAATTCTATAACTGCATCCTTGTACCATCTTGTCACGGAAAGATGATTTTCTCATGTCCGTGGAAGATGCAATACAGCTTGAATGTTATTATAGAGAAAAAGTAGGGCAAATAACTAATAGAAAACACATTGAATGGGATATCACAATCTATAAAAAAAAAAAAATCATTTATATAAATTTATATATCAATAGGCATCTAATATACATAATATTTACTATTAGCATATGGAATTCTACAATTTAGTTGGTCGTTGAGAATTTAGAAATCAAATTTTAAAAATCATTCCCAAACTATATTACCAAAATTAAAAAATCAATTTTTTAATGCATTATGATTTAAATTGTTTCACCCAAAATTTGGAAGTTTGAATACTCTTAGTGATGATTTTAGCTCATTTTCCCTATATGACTATTTAAATCTTGTTAACTTTGAATAACTAAAAACTTAGGATGCGTTTAATAAAATTGAAAATGAAATTCGAAATCTGAATCCATTATATTATTGAATTGTTAAGTACGATATATTTGATTGCATATCACATTAAGTGATAAATAAATAGTTTATTATTTATTTTTTGAGAGTATGTTTTGTTTAAAAAATTCAATACCACTTAATTAATTCATATACTCATTTTTTTGTTATCAAATGCGTTGTTAAGATATTAATTCATTAAATTTAAATGCTAAATTAAATTAGTATTGCGGTCACTTGAAATGACATCACAAAACTTTGCTTCGACTCTTCTATAACTAGTTGATAGATTAATGTTGTAAAAAAAAAAAAAAAACTTGTTGAGCAACTCAAATTGAAAAATCTCCTGTCCCTAGACATTAGGAGCTCTTTCTTTCTTTCTTTTTTTCCCCACTCAAGAAATATCAAATAACCCCAGAGAACCAAAAACAATCACGGTCAATAAGTCATTAAGAAAGTCACCAATTAATGTCAAATTGGACATTTACATAAGATGCAATATTGGAGTGATGTTGGGTAGCCTCTCCCGACCTGCAGAGGAATAGTTGGATCGTACGATAACCAGTCTATGAACACGATACCTCTGTATTGACAAAAAAAAAAAAATAATAATAATAATGAATTTGTTTTGGGTGGTTTCATAATAGTAGTACAATGTACAACTGTACAAGTATCGGGCTTCGCCGTTTGCCAGCGGCATATTAGAATGTAGGGATAATTTCATAAACCTCCCCTGAGGTTTTATGAAATATAACCTAGCTCCCTTGAGATTTTCAAAATCTCACTTAGCACCTCTTAAATTGACATTTTGGTAACATTGGATGCCCTTCTAACCAAAAGTAATATTAAAAAATTCATGTTTGAGGAGAGAGATTATTTTAGTGCCTTTAATACCCTTAAACTATAAAAAAATGAACATTTTACAAACCAAGAAAAAAAATATACTAAATTAGAACCATCTTAAAAATGAAGAAATAAAAATTGATAAGATTTTATGTTACAACCAATAGTTACCTTTACAGTAGGAAGAGATAGTAAAAATAAATACTATTTTTTAAACTATTTCTACAAATAGAACCCTTCATAGCGTTGAAGGTAATTAGCATGTAAAATTATACATTTGAGCAAAAAAAACTTAATACTAGATGAAATTCAATTTCAATATCATACAAAAAATTTACTTAAAATAGACAGACTTTTTTTACGGGTGTGAAATATGAAAATTTTATTATAGAAAAAGTCAGAATTTGAAAAACTATTTGGAGTTTCAATTACTTTATTTCTCTTGCGCTCTACATGAATAGGAATAAATAAATAAATAAAGTTGTGAAACACCAAAAAAGGAAAAAAAAAATAAAAAGAACCTCCAGCTTTTCTTCTCCAAATGCATTGAATATTTCATTGACATTTACAATTCAATTATACATACATATATATACACACACACACACGTATGTAGGTATGTTTGTTTGTATAAACATTGTTAAAGAAAAGTAGGAAATTTAGAGAAAGAAAAACAAGTTCAGAAAATTTAAATATGAGGGTATTATTGACAATTCATCACCTTTGATATTAGTATATGGCCCTACTATCACTTCAAGGGTGCTAAGTGAGATTTGAAAACGTTTAGGGGAGCTAGGTGATATTTCATGAAACCTCAAGGGAGGTTTCTGAAATTATCCCTATAATGTAGAGTCCAAAATGCCGCACGATGACTGCGGTGGACAGGTCGGAGCCCTTGGTGAACGGACACGCAATAGTTTCACTTCAAGGCGCCAAACTTCCAGAAATGAATGCGACGCCCGGGTGTTTTCGTTATCAATTCTGTCTTGACACTCTTTCTTCATCTTCGCTGGTGGAAGGTAGCTCGTTCTGAAATTTCAGATGTCTCTGGTAGCTAGGGTTTTAATCAAATACTAAGAAATGTCGGGAAATAATACTGTCGACCCTTTGCCATCTGCGGAGCAGAGACCCACGACGATAATGGATCTAAATATGGACTCCCTGGTCCACTGCACCAGCCATCTCAACCTCCAAGACATCTCAAACATGGCCATGTCCTGTAAATACCTCAGGGCAGTTGCATATTCTGATTCCGTCTGGCAATCCCTCTCCAGGTTTCCTCCTCTCTCATTATAACGTTGCCGCTTCGTATACTTAATTTTTTTATGGGAAAAATGTGGAATTACTGTTATATTGTATGTGAACGGGGAACTGAGATATACAATGTGAGCTTGGATATGGTATTTTTTTTCCTGGCATCAATTTTTTGTTCTCCCTGCACGTCGTTGTTGCACAAGTTTAGAACTTTATGGATGTTGTTTTGCTTCCGTTGGCACATCCTGTTTTTGTTTCTGTATTATGTAGTAGGAAAAAGACTTTACTGAAGTTTGTCTGACATTGTGGTGTCAGATAATTTTTGCAAAGTTTGCTCAAGCTCTTCGTTACTCACTGTGATTCAGTGGTTGTTTCTTTTTTTCTTTTTGTTTCAGCCATTCTTTCCCACGTGTCAACCTGGTTATTGCTCTGAAAACCTTTAATGTTTTTTCAAGACAATGAAATCCATTTTTGTAATTCATCTTAACTGTTGTATTCTCTTTTGCGTGCTCTAGATGTATGACGTCTTTGTACTACATTTTTCCAGATTCATGATGAGGACCAAATTGAGCTTCTAATTTGTAAATACATCAATTTGAAAATTACAGTTTTTTTTTTTTAACTTTGTAAGTCTTAAAATGGCAAGCCATGTTTGCAATCCAAGAACAACTATGCAAGAATCTAAATTTTCATTTGTACGTGGAAAAAAATCAATAGTAGCTCATATTTTGGTTGTTCTTTATTCATTGTTGAATTTGCTGATTTAGCTGTCAACAGATGATGGTATTCAGTATGGATGTTCTCAAGAACTCTGGTTCTCATTTGTGTGTGTTTTTCCCCCCTCTTTGGGTACTTCCAGAGCAAGATGGCCTTCACCAATACCTTATTACAATTCTCAAAAATCAAGTGTCAGGGATGCATACTTGGCCAGGCATACTGCATTGCAGCAGTTGAAGTTTGAAGATCCTGTGATTGATAATTTCTTATTCAATTTAAAGTCTCATGATCACCTACTCTTTCTGGACAATCGTATAATACTATCAGAGGTACCAAAATTACAAGATTCCTGCCTTTTCCTCCTCTCCATTTTTGCTAAACTTAGATGGCATCTGGAAGGTGCTTATGATCTTCCCATATTTTCTTTTCCAGAATTGCTATAGCATACAACTATAATCATAAGTAGTCTTCCTTGGCATCAGGTTGTCCTACATAACGCTTGTTATTAAACATTCTTGTGCAGGGTCCCGTGATACGCACATTGGATATTGGGATTAATTCTGGAGGATATGATTCTGTCTTAACACTTAATGATCACCGAGCTAGAATAACTTGTATGAGGTTATTTTTTCTCATTTCTCATTTTATTTGGGCAAACCCATGAAGTTAATGAAAGGTTATTGAGTGATGGTGGTTGGACATGGGTTTTTTAAAGAGTCAAAATTGGTAGAATATTATCACTTGATGGATTGGTTTGCATGCTAAACTTGTTCCATTTAATAAGGCTAATGTCAGTTATCAGAGAAGATCTTTTAGTAATATTTATGTTCACTGGTCTCTCTTTTGTATTCATGAAGAAAGCTAGCTTTAGCATTTTCTTGTCGTTTATGGACAATAATATCTCGTTACCTCGACACGTTTGAGGTATCCTGGTTGGCTGTCGGGAATAATAGTTCAGGTGTTCATTTTGTTCTGAAGTATTTTAACTGGGGATGTGAAATTTTTTAACTTCTCAATGTGTTCTGAGATGCTCAGCAAATCTCTGCTTTTAACCGTCCTCATCTTTCTGGAATTACCATTTGTTAGTTTGATTTGAAGTTCCTGATATTCTTTTCATATTCCACTGATTTGTTACCTTCATTACCCTACTTTTTCTCATCCTCATGTTTCTTTTTTTGATTTCATACATAAGTGTGCAGATATATGTCCTTATCTGGTGATATATGATCTTCTAAATCATACCTTTGTTTACTTCTTCCTCTCTACCCATTTCGCTTGATGGTTATCGACACCTCTTTTTATCATAATTTCGGTGGTTTTGACAACCAGATTAGCTGAATGATAGATGCAAAATGGGAATAGTAGGCACCAGACCTTCTTGTCCAGAGTTTCTGGTGCTACTTACCAGTCTTGTAAACTGATTCTTGATGAGGATGAATAAAATTCCGCTGATCATTGTTTATCTCTGAGGTTCAATTTGCTACTTACTGGTTTTGTGAACCAGCTTCTGATAAGGATGAATAAAATTCTGCTGATCATTTTTCCCAGCTTTAGACAAACTTTTGATGACAATTGATCTGTATGCAGATTGTTTTCCTTCAGTGACACAACTGTATGCCGAAGTGGGGAGCTTAGAAACAGCACTGTCTTGGTCACCTCAAGCTGTGATCATACAATTCGTCTGTGGTCAAAGGTGTTTTGAGGAATCTCTTTTTCTTTATTTTATATTCCTTGACTGGATGGTTTTGTGAAGGTGTATGAAAGAAAATCTTATGACGAATCACTCACAAAAGTTAATTTTGTGAAAATTATTCAGCAAGGAAAATTTCCCAAAGAATTACAGTACCTTTCTGCAATTTATCTGAGATTTATGTTATCTGAGGGTCATAATTCTGTCCTTATTCTGTCAAATTACTTGCATCTGCCCTCTGAAGTTCATCAATATCACTGATTTGCAGGGCTCTTGCTACCGATGTTATAGGGGCCATAGTGGTGGAGTAACAACACTTTCAGATAAACTGTTGGGTGATAGCAATGAGAAAATATTTGCCAGTGGAGGTGTTGATGGTACTGTTAGGCTTTGGTCTAGTTACCCTAAAGGAAAACGAGGCCAACAAGCTCTGAAGGGCACGCTATATGGCCATGAGAAACCTGTCATACTGATGGTAGTGGCTGGGTAAGTAGGAGATGTGTTGCAGCTTACTATTTGGGCTTTTGATATCTTATTGGTTGCTTTGACTTCTGTATGTATTGCTTGTGCTTGCAAAACGTGCGATAGGATGTTCAGTTTTTTTGTGGTTCTCCCCTTTATATATTAAAACAATAGATCAATTCACTTTAATGATATGCACTGCAAAACAAGCAGGAGCCTTTCTATTGAAGTACTAGTCTTTGTTTATTCAAATCTAATTAATGAAATTTTTATGTGATTGAAGCATTTCTCGTTGAATCATGGAGCAATTGCCTTTTTTGCAGTGGATTTCTTTCAGACCTTGATATATGACTTGATTTGTAGTTGCTCTACCCTAAATAATTCATCTGTAGTAGAATGTTTAGAATATGCATTTCCAGAAGATTATTTAACCGTCTGAAGCATTCTGTTTCTTTGTTATCTTCAGGCACAGATCATCTCTTTTAGTGAGCATGTCGAAGGACTCCAAGGTACTTTGATTCTCTGAATTTAGCTTTCTGATTTATGTTGTCAGTTTGCTCATGTAAATCAGTTTCTGATGGTTATTCTAGTGAATACCTAGAAAGAAATATGATGATAGGGATAGTAAATTGGTTGCAATGGCACATAACCTGGGCTTTTAGTTGCTAATTCCTATTATAGATTTCAACAGAAGAACCACTTGCATCACCAGAAAGTGTTGTCTAGTTGGACTTAAAGCGTCCTTAATGGCTTTGGTGAATAACAGAATTTGATAATTTAGCTTCTGATCTAAGCATGCTTAAATTATATCAAGTAGGTGAGAGTATGGGACGCATTTACGTCTTCTGCTGCTCGTTCTTCTTGCTGTGTGGGAATGACTTCTGTGTATGGTGTACCTGTGGGTATGAAGTGCGATGGATCATTGCTGTATGTTGCTACTGGGTCCTCTGTTGTTGTAATTGACTTAAGGACAATGCGTGAAGTCTCCACAGTGATGCACAAAAGCCAACTGCATTCATTTGATGTCCTGCCTTCAAGATCTTTAATATGCACTGGTGCAACTGGCAGGTAAAACTTATTCTTGAAAACTAGTCAATGTGATGTTTTTTCATCACTTGGAGGTTATCACCTGTATTTGCATGCATATAATTGTTCTCCCAAAAAAGAAAAGAGGAAAAATAGCATGCTACTAATGCAGCATCTGGAGATGAAATGCTCATTCCTTGCTGTCCATGTTTTTTACCTTGTTTCTTTGATCTTAAGATACTAGAGGTGATAAATGATGCCAAAACTATTGCAGTGCAAAACTTTGGGACCTTAGGAGAAGTTCTGAGACATTCAAAGCAGAACCGTTAGCAGAGCTGGATGGACATGAAGGCCCAGTTAAGCATATACGCATGGACGCATACAAGATAGTTACAGGCGGGCCTGATGATTGTTATGTAAAGGTTTGGGAAGTCGACACTGGTGCATTTACTAATTCGTTAAACTGCGCTCCAGATCATCCGACACCTGGTTTTGGCTGTTCGGCCGTGGCCGTAAGGGGATGCAGAATTGTTACTGCTGGCAGCAATGGAGGAGAGGGTTCACTATGCTACAGAGATTTCAGCAGTGCTACTCAACCAGTTTCATCTGATAACAGCATTCCTGCTTCAAAGTTCTGGGATTCGAGTTCTTACAGCGACACTGATGAATCTTATGACTAACAAATGTGTAGTTTCATTTCTCTTTAGGACAACTTTGCGTTTCATTTCATAGATTTGTTGCTCATGTTGTATTTCGTTATAGAAAGCGCTTGTGAGAACGATATCCCATTGAAAATCCTCAAGAGCTTCCCGCAACTTTGCTTTCAGGATTCGACGAATGTAGCAGGAATTAAAAAGATTTAAGATCAACTGGTAAATGAAGGGAAAAAAGTACTCGTACAACAGTTTCCCAGGGAAAAAAGAACTTTCAAAAAAAAAAAAAAAAAATGAAATGGAAGAGTAAAAACTTATGGTAGAGCGAGCGCCCAAGTTGGCGAGTGGAAGAAAGTTGAAAGTCGTCCCTCTGTCCGCCTTTCGACCGACTTCAGTGTTTCAACTCTCACCTTCCTTGCTCCTACTCCGTCGACTGAGTGATCGCAGCTCCTCCCAAATTCCCAAACCCTAACCCCTTTCAACATCCTGGAGATGCGTCGCTCCACCACAGCCACCGTTCTCTTCCTTCTTCTCCTCATATACCTCAGCACCATAGCTGCTTCCGCCGGAATCTTGGGCTTAGATTCCTTCCTGACTCAACAATACCGGACGGACCCACAAGGCACCAACGACTCTTTCCTCTTGCTTCCCTCTTCCCTCAAGAGATCCATCTCTCACCCCTCCGCTGTCAACCCGCCCACTCCGGCTTCCCTTCTCTCCCTCCAACTCTCGGTCCCGATTACCGTGAAGCTGGTGGGACCAACCTTTACATCATCCTCCCCTCCCCTCCTTTCCTCCTTCCTTACCTCCGCTGTCTCCTCCGACCGCTTCCGCGTTATCACCCCTTTTTCCTCCGACGCCTCCCACCACCTCTCTCTCTCACATTCCCTCCACCTAGAAGTCTCCCTTTCCTCCTCTTCGCTCTCCTCTCACCTCTCCGAAGCTCTCAAAACCCATCTCTCGAATACTCCATCCTCCATCCGGCTGCCTTTCGCCTCCGTCCCCCACTCCTTGATCGATGAAATCATAAAGCAAGACTTCGAAAACGAAAAACCTATCGACGGAATTTACATTTATATTCTCCATTTGGGCTCTCAGTCCAAGTCCTATGCCTATAGCTACACCCCCGGGGATCCGTCCCCAGGGGTCACCAAGTGCATGGGCTCTATCTGGACGGGGAAAGATCGCTACTTGTGGATCGATTTGGGCGCCGGCCCCGTGGACTACGGGCCGGCGTTGTCTGGTGATGGGGTCTTGCCAAGAGGCGAGTTTCATCCGCTAGCAGCAATGCACGGCCAACCCAAGTCGCAGAAGGCGATGCTGGCAGACTTGGCATCACTGGTTTGGAGCGCTTATCAGGTACTATTTGTGCCCTCATTGAGAATTCCAGTGCCTTTTGAGAATTCGTTGACTGTTCAGTTTATACATATATATGGTTCTTCGTCGGATAATTTTGGATTAGACTGGAAATCAATAGAGAGAGCTTTTACTGACGAGATTAATGATAAAGGGTTGCTATTGGGTGAGCAGAGGTTGAGTTTTAAGAAATATGAGGTCAAGTTATCAGAGTGTTCGATTTGTTCTTTTGCTATTTGGAGGGCAACTACTTCGTATACTTCTAGGTACTTGTTTGATAATTACACTCTGATTGTTAGTGAGTACTTGGACTCCAGAAGGTTACATCAGACAATTTCTGAATCATCTGAAGAGTTCAGGAGATTGGCAGGGCTTCCTGAGGAAGATTTCAGGAGTAGAGTACTTCCTGTATATGTGTTCGATTTGGATGCTAGTACGATTTTGTTGCTTGATCGGTATCACCAGTCTGTTGCATTTAAAGATATGGTAATCGCTGTCAGAACAAAGAATACGCAGACTGTGAGTGATTACAGTTGCAATGGCCGCCATGTGTTCACACAGACTCGACAACTTGAGAGACCTCTTGTTGGTTCCATTCTGCAGAGTATGTGGGGAGTGTCACCAACGCATTTGGTCTGGAGCCCTAGGCACAACAGTACGCTGGTAGATTATACCTGGAGTGTTGGACAGACTCCATTTGGACCCTTCTCCGACATTTCTTCATTTTCTTTTGTGCAGAAGGATGCAGCCAGAAGAAACGTGCTTTTGACGTCATTTAATTACACTATTGGAAGTGCTTTGGATGTTCTTGAATCCATTTCTGCACATGGTGGAGAGAAAAAGCTTCTTAGGCAGAATCAGCAGACTGAGTTCCTGCAGAGATGGAACCTATTCAAGTACAAGCTAGACAAAGCCATTTCTGCATTATCACATTTTGATTATGATATGGCTTTGTACTACTTGAGGTCTTCAGACCACGATTTGTATGCTATTCACTCTCTTGTTTATCATGCATCTCAAGATTTGGAGGCCTCACTTACTTGCTTCAAGGACCCCCCATTCCCTTGGTTTTCAGTTTCTATGGCTGCTGGTGTTTTCTTTACACTCGTTTATGTTTATGCAAAAAGAGAAACATTGTTTCAGAATAAGAGAAAACAGTTTTGAAGCTTTTGAGTTGTTAGGTATTTCGTGTTTTGAACGGATACGAGACCTGTATTCCTGTAAGAGAGTTAAGCTGTATACTTTCTTTTAGTTTTGAAAGGAAGCTGCTACAATTGTCAGCAGTTTTACATACTTGATTGCCTTTTTTGTTATTTATTTCTTTCAATTTTTTGACTTCTTGTTTTCAGATATCTTCCTTTTTTTATTTTTTTTTCATGTTCTTTTCTTCTTGTTTTTCTTTTACTCTATTGTATGATGCAGTTGGGTTCCTAATAACGGTGGTATCTTGAACTTTCCAACTCCCATCTATTGAAGTTTGGATTTGAAATTACTATCTTTCCATGCCTTTAAGCACCCTCAAATTTTGAAACGGATTATCTTTTTCTGGGAGCTATTTGTACAATTGGGTAGCTGATGAACTTGAGTTACAGATTATACTTTTGATTTGTTCTACAACATGGTATTAGACTTTTGTGGAATATGCGTATGAGAGGTTTTTTGGCGTATATAGATTTTGAATTGATTTAATATCATTAGCAAATTTTAGATTGATCCTTCCTTTTATTCTTTTTCTGTTACTTGTTCACTTCTGCATGACACCGTCTTGCTGTACTCGCAATAATTCTTCTCCATCTGACGATAAAGTGTTTTACCTCAATATCTATACATGCATAAATAATTAAGGGCTACTTGCATGTTTGAATGTAATCCATCTCTAAAAGTCTTGCTAGAACAGTTTAAATTCTTATTCTTTTCTTTCATTAACTTCATGTCAAATTCTTTTGTTTTGGTAACAACAGATGTATGAACTATGAGGGGTTCCATATGTGCATGACTCTAATTCGTCATTGAGCTATGGTATCATGGGATGCCTTTGGCAAAACCACAACTTAGATAAACAGTTGTTACCTTTCTGCTAAGTCTTTTAGTTTGCAGATTTGTCAAAGCCAGAAGTTATATAAACAGTTTTTACCTTTTCGCATGGTATGAAGGTTGTTGGTTTGCAGATTTGAATGATTAATTCTTGGCATGTGTGGATTTTGGCAGTTCAGGAGACCAGGTAGGTTGTAAGACAGGTGCAAAGAAAATGTGGCTATTATTGTGTCCGAAAGATTTGATGAGGTGACAATTCATGTATAATCAAACAGTGCTGGACGTAGCTGGTCTGAACTTGAGGCATAGGCAATACTCTCTTCTGAGATCAGTAGGTGCCCAAGGCTTTGCGCCAAGAAATATGTTCATGGAAGTAGCAAGTTAAAAGATCAATTCTTTTGTGACTATGGGAGTATAAGGAGAGGTGTTAGTTACATATAGTTCTAGCGCGGTCTTTTGTCAATTTACCTTCTTCTTTCTCTTCAGACATTAAAAAGACGGCCTCTGTTGTTTTTTCCTGGATTAAGCTTATAAATATTTACTTATGTGTAAATCATGGTCTGAGATGGAGAAGTCTTTTAGCACTCTACATGGCCATAATAGGCCAAGGGAACTTGGTAAGAGTCCGAGTGTATGACTGATGGCAATACAAAGAAGAATAGATGTTAAAAGTCATCTCCACATCCAACTTTTGATAACCGGATATTATTGCCAGATAAATAGGAAGAAACGTTATCTAATAACCAACAGCCAGCCTCTTTTGGGCTGTTGCTATGCTCCCGCCTGTCAAGCCAGGAGTTCCACTCCTGCCTGGCAGGTTTGCGGTAGGGGTTTAGGGAGGGAATATGGGAGGGAGGAAGGATTAAAAAAAGAAACGTTATCTTTGAGGGAGGAAGGATTAAAAAAAGAAACGTTATCTTTTCTTTTATACAAGATTCTCATTTTACGCAGGAAGCAGATAGAAAAAGTTCGATCAACTAGTTTTTAGAGGCTTTGATCATAATCTTGTTTGTAGTGGATTCTCCAGACAGTCATAGTTGAAACGGAATGGTTCCTCCAAGTCAATGCCGTAACTCTCTGAAGTTACACCAAATGGGGTAGCTCCATTTCCGTCCTCAAACATCTCAGCCAAGTATTCATCATTAACTACCTGCGGCTGAACTTTTCCACTCTCGCTGTCATTTTCTTCGTCTGAGACAATTGAATTCTTCGCGACCAGTTCGCGAAAAATTGAAGATCGGAGTAGGAGGCCAAGTGCTGTTGGGGAAGAAGATTTATTGCATGAATAAACTGGTAGTTGTCGTTCACATATTTCTTCCTTATTAAGGTCCCCTGTGCTGAATGACCTTTGGAAGATAAAGGATTGGTTGGTCTCTCCTGCACGGAAGTCATGGGACGGTGGAGTCTGTGGATGTATGATTGGCTCTGATTCTTGAGCAGAAGCTGCAGGGTTTACTCCTGGCTTCAACCATCTGATATAAGTGCTGAGGTCAAAATTGGTCACGGCATTGATCCCTCATATACCTCAGCACCATAGCTGCTTCCGCCGGAATCTTGGGCTTAGATTCCTTCCTGACTCAACAATACCGGACGGACCCACAAGGCACCAACGACTCTTTCCTCTTGCTTCCCTCTTCCCTCAAGAGATCCATCTCTCACCCCTCCGCTGTCAACCCGCCCACTCCGGCTTCCCTTCTCTCCCTCCAACTCTCGTCCCGATTACCGTGAAGCTGGTGGGACCAACCTTTACATCATCCTCCCTCCCCTCCTTTCCTCCTTCCTTACCTCCGCTGTCTCCTCCGACCGCTTCCGCGTTATCACCCCTTTTTCCTCCGACGCCTCCCACCACTCTCTCTCTCACATTCCCTCCACCTAGAAGTCTCCCTTTCCTCCTCTTCGCTCTCCTCTCACCTCTCCGAAGCTCTCAAAACCCATCTCTCGAATACTCCATCCTCCATCCGGCTGCCTTTCGCCTCCGTCCCCACTCCTTGATCGATGAAATCATAAAGCAAGACTTCGAAAACGAAAAACCTATCGACGGAATTTACATTTATATTCTCCATTTGGGCTCTCAGTCCAAGTCCTATGCCTATAGCTACACCCCCGGGATCCGTCCCCAGGGGTCACCAAGTGCATGGGCTCTATCTGGACGGGGAAGATCGCTACTTGTGGATCGATTTGGGCGCCGGCCCCGTGGACTACGGGCCGGCGTTGTCTGGTGATGGGGTCTTGCCAAGAGGCGAGTTTCATCCGCTAGCAGCAATGCACGGCCAACCCAAGTCGCAGAAGGCGATGCTGGCAGACTTGGCATCACTGGTTTGGAGCGCTTATCAGGTACTATTTGTGCCCTCATTGAGAATTCCAGTGCCTTTTGAGAATTCGTTGACTGTTCAGTTTATACATATATATGGTTCTTCGTCGGATAATTTTGGATTAGACTGGAAATCAATAGAGAGAGCTTTTACTGACGAGATTAATGATAAAGGGTTGCTATTGGGTGAGCAGAGGTTGAGTTTTAAGAAATATGAGGTCAAGTTATCAGAGTGTTCGATTTGTTCTTTTGCTATTTGGAGGGCAACTACTTCGTATACTTCTAGGTACTTGTTTGATAATTACACTCTGATTGTTAGTGAGTACTTGGACTCCAGAAGGTTACATCAGACAATTTCTGAATCATCTGAAGAGTTCAGGAGATTGGCAGGGCTTCCTGAGGAAGATTTCAGGAGTAGAGTACTTCCTGTATATGTGTTCGATTTGGATGCTAGTACGATTTTGTTGCTTGATCGGTATCACCAGTCTGTTGCATTTAAAGATATGGTAATCGCTGTCAGAACAAAGAATACGCAGACTGTGAGTGATTACAGTTGCAATGGCCGCCATGTGTTCACACAGACTCGACAACTTGAGAGACCTCTTGTTGGTTCCATTCTGCAGAGTATGTGGGGAGTGTCACCAACGCATTTGGTCTGGAGCCCTAGGCACAACAGTACGCTGGTAGATTATACCTGGAGTGTTGGACAGACTCCATTTGGACCCTTCTCCGACATTTCTTCATTTTCTTTTGTGCAGAAGGATGCAGCCAGAAGAAACGTGCTTTTGACGTCATTTAATTACACTATTGGAAGTGCTTTGGATGTTCTTGAATCCATTTCTGCACATGGTGGAGAGAAAAAGCTTCTTAGGCAGAATCAGCAGACTGAGTTCCTGCAGAGATGGAACCTATTCAAGTACAAGCTAGACAAAGCCATTTCTGCATTATCACATTTTGATTATGATATGGCTTTGTACTACTTGAGGTCTTCAGACCACGATTTGTACGCTATTCACTCTCTTGTTTATCATGCATCTCAAGATTTGGAGGCCTCACTTACTTGCTTCAAGGACCCCCATTCCCTTGGTTTTCAGTTTCTATGGCTGCTGGTGTTTTCTTTACACTCGTTTATGTTTATGCAAAAAGAGAAACATTGTTTCAGAATAAGAGAAAACAGTTTTGAAGCTTTTGAGTTGTTAGGTATTTCGTGTTTTGAACGGATACGAGACCTGTATTCCTGTAAGAGAGTTAAGCTGTATACTTTCTTTTAGTTTTGAAAGGAAGCTGCTACAATTGTCAGCAGTTTTACATACTTGATTGCCTTTTTGTTATTTATTTCTTCAATTTTTTGACTTCTTGTTTTCAGATATCTTCCTTTTTTTTTTTTTTTTCATGTTCTTTTCTTCTTGTTTTTCTTTTACTCTATTGTATGATGCAGTTGGGTTCCTAATAACGGTGGTATTTGAACTTTCCAACTCCCATCTATTGAAGTTTGGATTTGAAATTACTATCTTTCCATGCCTTTAAGCACCCTCAAATTTTGAAACGGATTATCTTTTTCTGGAGCTATTTGTGCAATTGGTAGCTGATGAACTTGAGTTACAGATTATACTTTTGATTTGTTCTACAACATGGTATAGACTTTTGTGGAATATGCGTATGAGAGGTTTTTTGGCGTATATAGATTTTGAATTGATTTAATATCATTAGCAAATTTTAGATTGATCCTTCCTTTTATTCTTTTCTGTTACTTGTTCACTTCTGCATGACACCGTCTTGCTGTACGCAATAATTCTTCTCCATCTGACGATAAAGTGTTTTACCTCAATATCTATACATGCATAAATAATTAAGGGCTACTTGCATGTTTGAATGTAATCCATCTCTAAAAGTCTTGCTAGAACAGTTTAAATTCTTATTCTTTTCTTTCATTAACTTCATGTCAAATTCTTTTGTTTGGTAACAACAGATGTATGAACTATGAGGGGTTCCATATGTGCATGACTCTAATTCGTCATTGAGCTATGGTATCATGGGATGCCTTTGGCAAAACCACAACTTAGATAAACAGTTGTTACCTTTCTGCTAAGTCTTTTAGTTTGCAGATTTGTCAAAGCCAGAAGTTATATAAACAGTTTTTACCTTTTCGCATGGTATGAAGGTTGTTGGTTTGCAGATTTGAATGATTAATTCTTGGCATGTGTGGATTTTGGCAGTTCAGGAGACCAGGTAGGTTGTAAGACAGGTGCAAAGAAAATGTGGCTATTATTGTGTCCGAAAGATTTGATGAGGTGACAATTCATGTATAATCAAACAGTGCTGGACGTAGCTGGTCTGAACTTGAGGCATAGGCAATACTCCTTCTGAGATCAGTAGGTGCCCAAGGCTTTGCGCCAAGAAATATGTTCATGGAAGTAGCAAGTTAAAAGATCAATTCTTTTGTGACTATGGGAGTATAAGGAGAGGTGTTAGTTACATATAGTTCTAGCGCGGTCTTTTGTCAATTTACCTTCTTCTTTCTCTTCAGACATTAAAAAGACGGCCTCTGTTGTTTTTTCCTGGATTAAGCTTATAAATATTTACTTATGTGTAAATCATGGTCTGAGATGGAGAAGATTTTAGCACTCTGCATGGCCATAATAGGCCAAGGGAACTTGGTAAGAGTCCGAGTGTATGACTGATGGCAATACAAAGAAGAATAGATGCTAAAAGTCATCTCCACATCCAACTTTTGATAACCGGATATTATTGCCAGAAAATAGGAAGAAACGTTATCTAATAACCAACAGCCAGCCCTTTGGGCTGTTGCTATGCTCCCGCCTGTCAAGCCAGGAGTTCCACTCCTGCCTGGCAGGTTTGCGGTAGGGGTTTAGGGAGGGAATATGGGAGGGAGGAAGGATTAAAAAAAGAAACGTTATCTTTGAGGGAGGAAGGATTAAAAAAAGAAACGTTATCTTTTCTTTTATACAAGATTCTCATTTTACGCAGGAAGCAGATAGAAAAAGTTCGATCAACTAGTTTTTAGAGGCTTTGATCATAATCTTGTTTGTAGTGGATTCTCCAGACAGTCATAGTTGAAACGGAATGGTTCTTCCAAGTCAATGCCGTAACTCTCTGAAGTTACACCAAATGGGTAGCTCCATTTCCGTCTCAAACATCTCAGCCAAGTATTCATCATTAACTACCTGCGGCTGAACTTTTCCACTCTCGCTGTCATTTTCTTCGTCTGAGACAATTGAATTCTTCGCGACCAGTTCGCGAAAAATTGAAGATCGGAGTAGGAGGCCAAGTGCTGTTGGGGAAGAAGATTTATTGCATGAATAAACTGGTAGTTGTCGTTCACATATTTCTTCCTTATTAAGGTCCCCTGTGCTGAATGACCTTTGGAAGATAAAGGATTGGTTGGTCTCTCCTGCACGGAAGTCATGGGACGGTGGAGTCTGTGGATGTATGATTGGCTCTGATTCTTGAGCAGAAGCTGCAGGGTTTACTCCTGGCTTCAACCATCTGATATAAGTGCTGAGGTCAAAATTGGTCACGGCATTGATCCC